TCACTGTTTTGAATTATTCAAAATGTAATGCCCAGGCCTATGTGTTTATGAAATGTATTGGTTTCTTAGACCTATAATTTGGGCATGTAGTCAATGTATAACAGGACAGCTTTGTTCTGCGTATAGCCATAAACCTTAAAAAAAAGTTATGATTAAAGCCTTTAAGAGAGATTGCTAATTATGGCTGGTATGGTACCCTTACGCAAACACACACTTTGAACATGGAGGTGAACAAATGGAGGGTTATCAAAAGGGAATTGCCTCTTTTCTATAAGATTCCCCCAAATGCATGCTTGAAATTGTATTTGCTGTTCCAGCTCTATGGTTTCTGTGTCAATAAATCCGATTATAACATTTAATGTAAGATAATGGTATTTTACGCCACGGTTTTAAAATAGCTCCATTTAGCTAAGGGTTTCCGCTTGCCGTTCAGTAATTCTCTATAATGAATTGAAGTATTGCTTTCTCCTTCAGAACAAAAGTGATGACAGCTTCCCATTAAAAAAACCCCAAACCAAACCTGGATTTTAGTGAAGCTGTGTCTGGTAGCATGGCTACTAGAAACAAAAGGCAGCATTAAAGATGGAGCTTTATGTTCTTTTAAACTTGAGCCTTAATTCATATAAAAATAATGTTTTCTAACTTTGTAACAGACTTTACAGTTGTCTTGCCAATGTAAATAAAGCCTGTTGTTATTTACCCTCTACTGCAGGTACTTTACTCTTTGGCCAACAAGACTCCCAAAGCGGATTAAGAATCACAAAATCAAGGTGGTCTCTGCCCCCAGGTTTTCAATCCAAAAGACACAACACAAAAGGAAAAATGGATGAGGAGAGAAGAGGAAAGCAAACAAGTTCAGTTATCAATTCTTAAAGTTACAGTAACATTACTTTCTAAATTTCTATTATCATGGTGCACTCTACACATGCTTAGAGACACTTATATTTATATATAGACGTCGGGACTGCTCGAGTCAAGATCCCTCCGCTCACATGGGGGGAGCACCACACATACACATTAGTAAGTGCATTTTAAATATTTTTCCAATCTTCAGTTGAGTTATTCACATTTCCACGAGTTTGCATTTTTTTAAAAAATTAAGAATTCATTAAAAAATCATCTAATTACATCTAATATACTTGTTTTTGCATGCAACTTTGCCTAATATGTTGCATTTAGTGTGCTATTTCCACTAATGTATGCATGGGCTCATTTGCAAAAGCTGTGTATCTGGCCTCTCTTCTGCAGAGCAAGAAAATGGATGCTGCTGTCATTCATCATCTCTGGTAGAGTTCATAACCACCATCCCTAAAAGGTTGGCACTTCCAAACCCTCCATAATTCTATTATTTCCACCGAGTATGTTTCATTCTTAAAACTTAAATGGCACAAAAGGATTTCTCCGAAGCTTGGAAAACTACCAGGGTCAAAGCAACAATGCACAGTGACAGTGAGTCGCCCTTTCTGGGAAAATGGGATAGAAAAGGTTCTGCAAGCCATAGTAATTCTCAATTATGAAGCTCCCAATTTATTTATGTACAAGGGAGCCCCATGCCATGAAGCTCTGCCAAGACATTAGCTGTTCCTGTATAACAAAACCCGAGAGCTCCACCATGGGACCCAGCACAACTAACAGGTAAGAAAAGAGTCCAGGTGTCTTGGATGTATCAATCTACAGAAACAAGTGCAGCCAGCAGAGTGTAATTGGCTTTGGCAGCAAAACTTGTACAGTGTGTGGTAGGAACAGGAGGGAAAGGCAATCAAAGTCTCTCCTGCCATTTCAGATGTTTTCTATGGTAAAATATAGTTACTATGTCATCACCACAGCTGCCACCTGCACACCATTTTCACGTTAGGTTGGTGGGGTGGGAATGACTCTGGCAGAATCCTATCCTGCATATATTTATGCTCTTGAATCACAAAAGGAGAACTCACAACACGACTCTGTATTGTGCCAGCACTGGCCGATATCCAGGATGGGTGATGCTGGCAAGGGGAGAAGCCATGCCAGGGCTTCTCACATGGGACAGGGCTGAGCTGTAGTGGCTCCCATGCTGCCAAAGTAACATGGGTGGGTGGTGCCACTGACACCCCTACTGCAGCGCTTTCAACATTTAATTCTACGGACAACCATTAAAGTGATTTTTTTTTGCAAACAAAAACAGAGTCGAGTCAGCAAAAATGCTGGAGAGGCACATACCTCCACTTGTGGTGAGGTTGCCCCCAAATCCAACCATTTGGGACATCAGTCCAACAAGAAATAACTAAACAGGTACAACCTCTGGTTGCGAATGGGATCTGTTCCAGAGGCCCGTTCGCAACATGAGCAGAACGCAACCTGCGTCTGTGCATGCACGGGTCATGATTCACTGCTTCTGCACATGTGCATGATGTCATTTTGCACGTCTGCGCATGCGCGAGCGGCGAAACCCGGAAGTAACCCTTTCCAGTACTTCCAGGTCGCCACGGGACGCAACCTGAAAAAACGTATCATGACGCAAACGCAACACGAGGTATGACTGTATTAGAAGCCACCCCCAGAACTGACCCTAATGAATATTTTCCAAAACAATAATGTACATTCACACTATGAAGAACTCATCTCTTCAGCCAGGAGCACCATAGCTAGACACTGGAGGGACCTGTCAGGAGTGAACATGATACCAAACTGTATGGGAAACAGTCTTACTACAAAAGCTAACCAACAAACTGAAATTAGCACAGGGACAAATAAAAGAGGACGCCTTCACCCTGGTGTGGCTCCCTTTTATTACGCACACAGCACAACAAGAATGCACCGACAGCATATGAATTGATATGGCTAACTTGACCAAGAACCCTTCCCCCTCTCACATACAACCAAAACTCACTGCAGTCAACTGAAGGCAATCAACCATGCCCTGGGGCCCCCAGTCTCTCTCATCACCAATGGAAACTAATGAGTAAAAAGAGAACCTACCCATGTGACACTGACACAAAAACCTTGTACACACACTATTTAAAAGAATGAGTTTACTACCCCGTCTCCCCCATCACTCTTCTCCCCCAACCTTATACTGTATACAACCTTTATGATCTGAAAATAGAGACGATGTATGTACTTTTGCAACCCAAGAAAATACTAAATAAAAAAATTAAACAAACAAACGTAGTAAGCCTGCAACTTACACGGGAGTTCCGTTCTGAATATCATGCCTAAAACCAAAATTGTGTGTAGTAAAAACATATTGGGTTCAATGGCAGGTGGGATTGCCAAATCCTTTTTTCTTGTATGCCCACTCCCTTTCCACCCTCTTTTTATTTTTTATTTTTTCACAAGCATGCAAAGCTGAATATGCACAAGTTAAATGTGTGTAAGTTGCAGGCTTATTGTGACGAAAGTGTTACAAAAGAGTGATGTTAAAAAAAATAAATCATCCACAGAAGCTGGGGTGGGAAGAAGGGGCTAAACTTCATCGTCTCTCTTTGCAGCTGCTCCTCTCCCCAATGAGGAAATGTCAATTCGTTTTTTTAAAACAATAGCATTATCCTGAGGCCATCTTAACTAATCAGAGATCACGGAGGTGACATGAAAACATGATCATGCGGACAGTCTTGACCACAGCATCGCAAAGACAAATTAAAGAGAGGGCAGGAATCATTATCCTCACTCTGAAGAAGATTCCTGATGGTGTTAAGCAGCTGGAACAGAATGGGGAAAGTGCTTTCTGCCAGAGTTCTGTATGGCACCTCCTGATAAAAAAAAAGCTGGTGTGCTTTACCAGTAGGCAAGTTTTGTGTATACGTGCAAAACTCTGCGTTCTGCTCAATCTAAAACAGCAACCAAAACAAATAACATCTATTCTTTATGCTGCCAACAAAGCATAGACCCTATTTTAAAATCATGTCCTCTCAGAAATACCGATTCCAAAATGTCTACACTTTTTAAAATGCAATAATGCCTCAGATTCACTAATACTAGCGATGGTTTTTTAAAAATTCAATAAATCATAATTCACGATACTTAAGGGATGAGATTAACTTACACCTGTAGAGAAGGATGCTGCGCTGTTTGCAGGACAGAACTCAAACACACTTTATCACACTGATCAGTAATTAACAGACGGTTGCTTTGTGGGAGAAGCCCTCATATATCTTTGCCAAAGCTCTCCACAAGCTTCTGCTTCATTATTTTGTGCTTTAAAATGCACATGAGGCACACAGTTCTGTGCATATTCCTTTACCATTCTATGCTCCGAATACAAAATATAATTCTTTCCAATCTGTATCCTTTATCCCAATTTCAGTACTCCGTCAAAATATGTTCAATGAGGCAGTAATAGTGACCTAAATGCTTTATTAAGAGTGGGTTTACGATGGATATCATTATAACTTCAGACATTCAAGAAAACTCAGTTGGAGGGGCTGTAAATGGTTTCCTTTCCCCACAATTTTCAATCTCATCAGAAGATGGTACACAGCCCCCCCTGCGGAAACATAGGAACATAATCTCCACATCAAAAGCACATCTCTTTTGATAAGAGTTGAAAAAGACAAAATGGAACCAAGGTGGTGGTAGTGGCCAACCAATCTTGGCTGGCCTTCATAACTGGCTGAAGCAAAAGCTGTACACACACAACGGAAGTTCCCAGCAAGCTGTGCTGGAATGTAAACAGACATGCGACATGTAACAATCCCATGTCTGCTCCTTAAGGCAGGAGGGAATTTTCCAACAGTTTTCACCTTGGCCCTGTCCTGCCTTTAGGGGAAGTCATCAGAATCATGAGACCTTACACAGAGCTCAAGGCACTGCATAACTGGGCAGGAGAGGATGAACCTCTGCTTTCCTCCACAGATGGGAAGGCTGGTGCGCTCATTGCTATTACAAGGTGGGGGTGGGGAGGTACAGATCACCAGTGGCCTCCTGGTAATGTATTTGTGGACCCTTTGCTAAAGAAGACTCAATCATGGAGCAGGCACATTCAAAGCCAGACAAGAAACAACAGAGAAGGAGTACATTACCAAATCTGTGAGCCATGGGGTGAAGATAAAGTCCACTGGAGGTGCTGGGTGAAAGAGGCTGAAGAAATGGTATCTGCTGTGGTGCAAGTCCCACTAGAATTCAGGAGCCCGATACAGTCCTTTGCAGCCTTTGCTTAAATTAAAGCTGGGGCTGCAAGGGAAGAAAGAGGAGTGCACTTATAATGTGCTCCCGATTATTCAAGTTGAATCACCTGGTGGGTGATTCAGGCGAGTGTCCCTGCCCAGCTGTTAATAGTAGCTCAGGGAGAGTGGCTGAGTTCTAAATCTGGCTGTGGGGCAGATTCAGTTCCCTAGCCAATTTAATGGGACACAAGTAGTACCTATATTTAGGTTTGTTTGCTTAATGAAATGTCTTATTTTTGTTTTGAAATTTACATGAAATATTGGCCATGAAGTGGGCAGTGTAACAAAGAGTGAAGGGTGATTCTTCCCTTGTTTGAATGCCTTCTCACCTGAATGCCTTCTTCCCCTCACTCTGTGCAAGGCATTTATTATTGCTTCACCTGTTCAGGGAGATTTTAAAGCAAAGCTCTGGTAGATCTGGGCTTAAATTAAGCCCTGGATTAAAACTCTCACAAATGGTCACAGGACTGGTCAAGGATAAAGGCTTTCCCCCTTCTTAGGTTGCACAGGTGCTGGATTGAATCCAGCAAAAAAAATAATGACTGCTCTGCCTTGATGTTGCTACTGCTGTATTAAGATGTGGGTAATAATCTGTTTGGGAGGATGTTGCATCACTCAAATGAGCATTTCCACATGTGCAACGTGTTATGCAAGCACAAGTGAATCTGCAGACCTTTTCTGCCAATCTAATTATATGGGTTGTATGCAGAAAAACTCTCTTAAAAGTGTGAAAAGGGAATCACTGGCTCTGTATAGCAGTCACATTTGATTGGGCTCCAACAAAGCAGGCCAGAGCTGCAAGGGAAATGTCAAAATATCATTATAACCAGTTTCCCCCCAGGGGTAATATATCATGGTTTAACTTTATGCAAACAAACATTTCTTTGATGTGCCCAGACCTTTTTGTCCCTGACAGGTCATTTTTATGTAAGCTAAGCTTATTAAAGGTTCAGTGTTCATTGGCCTTGTGGAATTCATGGTGGAATCCTTTTGGCCTGGAATCTGTCTTTCATTCTTTAGCCCAAAGACAAGCTGTAGCTGAAAATAAATGGATCTGAGTTCATCGCCTGATTACCTTTTGTGTCTCTTGACATCATTCAAGTGCCTGCGTCATTCTCATTTTAATTCTGGCCGCTGTTGCCATAAGGTAAAGAAATTATTGATTAATCATAAAAGCTGTAGACACAAACAAAAACGGATGCATGAGAGGGGAAACAGCTTTACCAGAGAAGATAAAATTTTTTTTTTTAAAAATAAACCTCCCAAGATTAATTATCACAAACATCCCTGCTGTAAATGATTTCGCATCATCTTTAATCTTCCATTCTATGCATCTACAAAGGTTATTGCATTATATAATGAGTATATTGCTGATACCAGGGGCCTGATTCATGTTTCACTTAGAACAGTTTTATAGCTTAAGAATTCCATTATGGAAGCTCCCCAGCAGTTGTAAATTTACAAAGCTCCATTGGCTTCAGCAAAGTTATGCTGATTTAACCTAGAAATAATTAGAAATGTTTCTAATTTATAATGCCATGAGATCTGGATTGTTCCCTTTGCATATTTAACGGCTCTTGTGAATGGGATATATTTTTAAAACTGTCCACCAGCTGTATTGTGCAGCATGTTGTGCCGTAAATGTGATAGGTTGTATCCAATGGGTGCTTTGCTTCTGCAAGTTAATTTCCAACTACTTTCGCTCCCTGAAAAGCTGTTCCTAAAGACTGAGCTAAAGCTGTGTGTTTTTAAATGTGAGCTGATGGGTCTCCCCCACTTTCTCTAACCCCCCCCCCTTTATAAATGTGTTATTCAGTGCTATTTTTCTAGAAAAAGAGGTGCCGGAACTCACCATAAATATGTCCCTTGTTCTCTTATAACGGCAATGGTGCCCACCTGAGAGGTGCCAGAACCGATATCTGATGAGTGTGTTTTTATTTGTGTGTGTGTGTGTGTGATGGGGAGACTCTCTTGAACAGAAAGGGATATGTGAAATTCTGGAGTAGGTAGAGGGGGATCAGTGACAATTGATTGGGCTCACAAAGCAGGCAAACAAAAGAGTTTTCCATTAAGGCAACACCACCATTGGCTATAGCCTGCAGCATCCAAAGCAGTTAAATGAGAGAGTGCATTATGGTGATCAGTTTGATACACTTGGTCCACTTCTAACACGCTAAAGTCTCCATATGCCCATTTGCAAAGTGGTCTATTTAGAAGCAAGGCATGCTGTCCATTTCAACAAGATGATGAAGCAGGACCTCAGGAAGAAGTAGATTCTTAAGGGTCACATCACCTATCTAAACTGGGCGGGCACTTTCAAGAATGCAATTTGAATAGATCTGTGCATGGTTTTTTGTATGTGCTGATGGTATCATAAAATTGCTCAAGAATCTGCTCGGCAAAAAAATAAATAAAAAAAAAATCAAGTCACATTGAGTACATCCACCAGTCAGTAGGCTTGTTAACTTTTTATTTTTTTTGGAAAAAAAATATTGATCCCCCCGGGTGAAGCTAAGAAATGGGACCAGGGCAGAACCAGACATGTCAGACACACAGACAGGTAAGCGCTGACCCACATCACCCATTTTAAGCACATCCAACATACATTTACTGCACACATGTTTTCCCCAAGAATCCTGGGAACTGTAGTTTGTTAAGATGGCTGGGAATGGTAACTCAGTGAGGGGGGGGACTACAGTTCCTAGGACTCTTTGGGGAAACATGTGTGCAGTAAACATGTGTTGGACGAGCTTTTAAGTGTAAGGTGTGGATCTGCCCAATGGTGCGTCATGCAAAGAGGCTGGAAGGTTCTGGAGCTCACTGGCTTTCAGGCTCCCCATACTGATTGCTAGCTTGGCACCACTAAGCCTTTTAGGATTCCTGCAAATGTAAGATTGAACTATGCGTTGACAGTGTGGAGCAAATCTCAACCTTCATTCCCATCACACCAACTCTGTCATGTGAAGTGAACTGTAACGAGAGCTTCCTGTGCAAACTTTAGCATTAACAATAGAGATAATAAGTGGAGAAACGCACCTGCAATGATGAATGGAAGAACTTCGAGTACATGTACATTATCTAATACTGCTGCCCATAGTGTGTAAAAGATGTTACAGATCAGAAGGGATACAGAGATGAGCTGCATGAGTTATCTAAGACACGAAAAGGATCTTCAGAGAGTCAACATGCTAGTTTCAAACAATATTTGATTTAAGTCATTTGGAGGGAGGGAGCATACTGGTCAATGGCTCTTCTAATTTTTTGAGGAAGACATAGCGAGAGCAAATTGCTACATTGTTGGATACATTCTTATTAGAAATAAGGCACATTTTTTAAAAATAAAATAAAAATAAAACCTGTTTCCCAAGGCAGCTAGTGATTTTCTTCATAGTTTGTTTCATTCAAATAAAGGCTCAGCCTTCACAAGAAGGGGTCGCACAACACAGGCCACCTTTATGCAGTGTATAATAACTGAATTTATCATCCATGAGTGGCCAATTCACAGCCTGAAAATAATTTAGATCAGGGGTGTAGGATTATCAGCAGGGTAAAATCTGAAACAGCAGTGACCGGTGGTTAAAGCTTCTATGTGCTTTACCGACACATCAAACAAGTGTGTGATGGTTGCCTTCTCAGCTACAATCAACTTGATCAATCAATTTCTGTGCATTTAAGTAGTGGTTTGATGATTATTAAACAATAACTCCAGAGCCAACAAGACTAGTCCATTTTAATGATATTTGTTCAGTGAATTCGGAGCCTGTCAAAAAGAGTTGTTGGGAAGAACAATTAATTGGTACAAATGTGAGTGCAAATTCTCTGGATTTCCCCCCACCCCTCACCCCCTTTTTACTTTAAAGCATTTTGTTCAAAGTATACAACTTATGTGCACGATAACAAAGTTCATACGGTTTTCCTCGGTGACGATAAAAAGCCTACTTTTTGTTATAAATGGGAGTAAAAATTAAAATGAAAAAGAGAGGTCACAGTTTTGTCATTGGTATGTGAAGGTTGTTCCACGGACCCATCCACAGTTCATCGTCGTCTGACTGCGTGTGATCGCTGGGTAATTCCAAAGGCTCCTTGACATCCTCGTTGTCAACAATGGACTCCTGCTCTTCTGTGCTTTTCAACCTGTTGCCCCCTGACTTTGTTCCTGTGTTATCAGCGTCTATAGCGGAGGATGCAAAGGAAACACTACACGGTCTTGTGTTCAGTTTGTCACTAGATGATGCCCCCGTTGAAAACGTGTTGAGTGGGACGTTCTCCTCGTGCGTCACTGCCAACTTATCAAGTTTCTTGAAATGTTTCCCCAGCCTCACAGGGGATGTGACCTTTAAATTGTTTGAGAGGCAACTGCGCCGGGTTCGAATAACCGAGCCATTTTGGGCAATGTAGATGTTCCCGTTGATATTGGTTTGAATGTTGGGGTTGCTGAGACGATTCCTCTGGCTTTCTGGGGCACTGTCCTCTCCAGTGGAGCTGGTCTCATACTCGGGATCAACAACCAGCTTGATCCTTTTTTTCCTCGCCCACTGAGTGATGACAAAGAGAGAGAGAAATCAATTATTTTATAGTGTAGTTTTTTTAAAAATGCATAGCACTGGCAGCTCCATTGCTTCCACGAGAAAACAAAATTAGGTAAGTGAACAATTTCCTTTAGAAAAATCAATTTAACTGCACTAAAATATGCTGAATGACTTGTTAACCACTGTGTATTGAGATTAAAACAAGGAATGCCTCAATATGGGTATTTTTGTTTCAGAAATGAAGTAGAGACTATTTACATTAATATCTATAATAAAACAGAGGGGGGAGAAATGTGTGAAGCAGCAAATCCTATAAACATCTCTCACTGGACGCATGCAGGAAAACACTTTATTCATGACCTGGAAGGGAGGAAGCAAGTAGAATCTAGATTTTGATTTCTGTGGTGGCCGGTGATTACAAAGCACTTCTGAACTGCCTTTGTCTAGTTCCCCCCAGACGTCACTGGACTACAACTCCCATCATGCTTGAATATTGGCTGTGTTAGGTGGGGTTGATGGGAGTTGCAGTCCAACAAGATTAGGAGTTGGGGAAGCCTGCTCTAGAATCTCTGTTCCCTGACACCATTTGTATAATGAACTGAAGGTGTTTTCAAGTTAACATGTTTGGTTTTGCATTTCTATTAGTGTTGGCAGGAGTGGATTCGCTATACTGGAAAAACTTGGGAAATGAAACACACTGAGGTATCTTCCCAGGAAATGGTGTGATGTCATCTTCAGGCTGATCTGTTTGACCCCATAAGCCAACCAGTGAGCCCAAGCTGCAGAAAATATGGGTGACTTTTCCTGGGACTCTCTCTGAAAGCCTGAGGTTTATGTAGTTCTCTCTGAAATACATTCAGCTGAGGCAGTTGATTACAAATGACATCTTATCTCTTGATAGGCTTACCTCCATGATCAGATACTGAACTTACATAGAGTTATATCCATGATAACTGTCTCTGTCAGACATAACCAAACTCCCAAAGTTTTCACACCATAAACACAGGCAGATAGATGAACTAGCCTTAGAGATCAACAGGGTATGTACAATATGCCAATAGGGTACATATTTGGAAAATCATTATCACTTCCTCCTAGAATTAATCACTTGAAATATTGTATTGCAATATCAGCTCATGAAGAGCACTTGACATTTCTACTTCAAGGGGATCATTGCACGAAAGCAGTGGTATTTTACAGCTTGACAATCTTAGTTTCTGAAGCAAGTGTAACCACATGGATGTTGCAATTAAAGGGGATGGGGAATATACCACATGAAACCATGCTTATCCCCACATGATGTCTCGCTAGCATGAAATCCCGATGCGTGTAAGGATTTGCTCGTTTACATTAATCGAATTACAGTACACAAACCAAAACTTTGGAATAAACCAGCCAAATATAATTGCAACAGATTCAATATAATTATTAATTATCTTCATAATTGGCCTCCCAATCTGAGCACTAACCATGTAAATTTAATGAAAAATAATCTATCTAGTTAATAAGTAGTTTCCATGCTAAATAACGAACCTAGCTATAAGCAATTTGGGTAGGCATAGAATTTATGCAAATAGTTCTTCAGTGAAAAGGTTTATATATATATATAAAGCAATTTGATTTCTAAGGCACAGAGACATCTTTAGAAAATGCAAATCACACAGTGGTAGAAATAGACATATCTACCCCTCTCCCCCAATATTTAAAGAAACCGCTAATTCACACACGCTGGCTGTTTGCTTGATTACTGCAGCTTCAGCTTTTCTGAGTGAATGAACCATCTCACAGCACAAACACCAGAGGAAGAATGTTCATAGCAGCTCACACCACTTCAAACACAACCCCATTCTCCGGAGTTCGCCTTCTACTAAGGATCAGGAAACGCTGAGAAATCAAGAATCACATCTGGACTCAACCTGATCAATCAATCAACCCATCAATCAATAAGTAATAAAAGTTTTGTTGTGAAAGTTGTTGTATTCTGGACAAGCCACCCTGTTTTTAATTATTCTTATTATTTTAGCCCCTGTGCAATCCTATTAGTGTGTATTCAAGTTCGTGAAGCTGTTCAGCTAGGAGCCCTTAACTCTTCTGAAAAACATTTCTCTTAATGGAAGAGAGTGGCAGGCTGGCTAGTGGCAGGTTCCCAAACTGTGTCCAAAACTTGCATAATGCTCCCTCCCTCCTAAAAAAGCAACACAGAGAGAGCACAGCAAACCAAAACCACACCTCACTGCACACTGTCTACCTCTTGTTCCACCTCCTGTGTTCTAAAAAGATGTAGAGTCACTGGGATTTTCTGACTCAGCAGTATCTGCGATCCTTGTGGGCCCTTTCTTCCGAATCCTCTCCCTTTTGGGGACATCTTCAGAATCTGTTGGAGTCGCTGAGCTCTTGGTAGTACCTCTCTCTGCCTCACTGTCCTCCTCTGGGTCAATTTCGTCCTCACTGCCCCCTCTCTGTTTACTAGAGGTTTCAATGTCATCTGACTCCTCCTCTTCTATAGCTGATGGTGGCTCTTCTTCTTCTTCTTCTGATAGTTCTTCTATGGCATCATCTAATTCACTTCCTCCTGTAGATGACTGGTTCTTGAGACTGGACTTGGAGCTCCTGCTTTTCTTTGTCCTGGCAGTAACTTCGCTGCTGACAGAGCTCTGCAATGACGACGACATCTTGGACTCTGTATCTTCGGACGCTTTGCTCTGAGAATCGGAGGTTTCGTCTTCAGAGCTGCTGCTACTTGAACTGGACCCAGACGAATCTGAACGCTCTTCATCAGAGTCCACTGTGCTTTCAGTGGTTTCGTCTTGGTCCAGCGTCACTGTCAAGTAGTCTTTATCAGAGGCAGAGGTGCTGCTTGCGGACGACGACGACTCACTTGAAGACGACGATGTCCTTCTCCTTTTCTTCCTGCCGTAGTCGCTCACTTCAGACTCGCTTTCCGCCGTAACGCTGATTGAAATCCCTGACTTCGAGTCCGATTCACTCACTTCCTCTGATGTGCCACGCTCCCGGAGTTTCTTGGAGGTGCGCTTCAGGGCACGGCCAACCTTCTTTGTCGAGATCACGTCACCGGCTGATTTCTGGAAATAGCTTCCCTTTATAACCATGCTGTCTTCTCCTTCCGCTTGGCGAGCTGCTGCCTCCAGCTCTGCGTAATCTGCATCTTTCCCTTTCACTTTCTGCAGCATCATTGGGAAGATCTTTGCCTTCTTCCAAGGAGATGGTGTTGCCTCTGTGGTGGTTCCTGGCTTGGGGGCACTAACTGCTATTCGGCTCAGCTGCATCACTGCTTTGAGTTTCTTCCTTCCCTGGCTGGGGCCTGCCTTTATAGCCGCCACTTCACCTACTGCACTAACAGCTACTGGAGGCCCTGGCCTCTGACTTACAGCTCTTCTGGGAACAACTGCACCAGGACTTGTCCTCTGCAAATCATAAGAAACGGAGCTTAGTTATAATTTTAGAAAGCTGGCTGGCTTGAAAACATGTCGCCCTAGAATACTTTGCGGCAGGAAGAAATGAAGAGTTAATTGTAAGCGAGAGGGGAAGAAGCAAAATAAGTATATGGATTAGACTTGTTTTTAACATCAAAACTGGTAATATCTAAGGAACAATGAGACTAAAGTAGTTGTGAAAGTCATAGGCCAAGTCTTTTTTTTTTGGGGGGGGGGGTCTCCGTATGGCTTGCAGTGGAGGCAGGAGACAATTCTCTGGCACAATAACTTGAATCTTCTGCATATGTTTACACTAGACCTTTTTGATTGTTGCCTGTACCAAAGGCTTTTAGATATGCACTAGTTATATGATAATTTAAAACCACAATTGTAATAAAATGCACTTTATCACTTTAGCCACTAGATGATGCTGCAGCGCTGAAAATGAAGAGATGTCAAAGAAACCGTTTTAAAACTCTCTTTCTTTCCCCCTCTGCTCTGCCATATAGACCCACCTAGAGCCCTAAACAAGTGGCCTCTTGAATTTCTCTATCATATTTATTGGCAGAGGCGCAGGCACCCCCCCTTTATTCCCTAAGGTATTTTCTTACTTTCCTAGCCACCCTTTTGCATCCTTGCAATGCTCCAGAACTAGAGTTCCCCTGAGGCCCCTGGGGCCTGGGATGGCAGCTTCCACCAAAGAATAGTGCGAATAAAATACCGCAAAAAAGAAACATTTCAGGCATTTTCTCAGGAAAATGCCTTCTGAGATATTTCAGTTCAGTTCTAGGCATATATTACAGATGCTGTACAGCTTGTCAACCAGATTGCAGCTGCAATGTACACAACAGATCGTGTGAGTTGCCTAGATTGTGTGTTTACTAACCATTCACCAATACCAGCCGCAGCACAGTAAATAACCACGTGCTCTTGCTGACATGATTTTGGTGACCAGCATTTGCATACTTTACTTCTCTGGGATGGAGTCCAAGGACAAGGTTGCTATTCTTCAGCAGGCTTGGTAACATATTATTAGGGCTTTGGTCATGCTACAAGATTGGTCTGTTTTATAGTGCCCACAAGGAGGAATGTCTCTGAAGATGCAGAGAGTACACTTCCTTCCTCTCAATCCTCTACATCATGGGTAGGCAAACTAAGGCCCGGAGGCTGGATCTGGCCCAATCGCCTTCTAAATAGGGCCAGGAATCAGCGTGTTTTTCAATGAGTAGAATGTGTCCTTTTATTTAAAATGCATCTCTGGGTTATTTGTGGGGCATAGGAATTCGTTCATATTTTCCCCCAAAATTTAGTCCGGCCCCCCACAAGGTCTGAGGGACAGTGGACTGGCCCCCTGCTGAAAATGTTTGCTGACCCCTGCTCTACATCTGTCTACTATCCCAGAGGCAGGCGACAGCAGAGGGAGCTCTAGATCAGGGCCAGGGAAATGTAGCTTTCCAGATGCTGTTGGATTCCAACTCCCATCAGCCCCAGCTGGCATGGCCAATGGTCATGGCATGACCAATCCACAGGTTTTCCCCACCCTGGTCTAGGTCATCCACTTGAGAAGTGGGATATGGAAGGTGAAGATAAGAGACATATGACCCTTGACTCACTGTAGTCTCATAAACACCAGCTTCTCAAGATGATTGGGGTGGGGCTGACGTGACGTCCTGACATCACGTGTGACTTCTCGTGATGTCCTGAAGTCACAAGCGTGACATCATGCAACGTTGCAAGGAGCCAGGGGCGGAGCTGAATGCCCCTCCGAACACTGAAGGGTCCCAGCACCCTCACAAAAAACATGGGGGCCCCCGAAGTGCCTTGGCCCCAAGGAGCCAGCACCCATGCATAGACTGCCACGTATAATTGTAAGATATATTTTAAAACATATCTACTATGGCAGGGCTTCCCAAACTTGGGTCTCTAGCTGTTTTGGGACTACAGTTCCCATCTACCCTGACCACTGGTCTTGCTAGTTAGGGGTGATGGGAGCTGTAGTCCAAAAACAGCTGGAGACCCACTTTTGGAAAGCCTGTACTATGCTATCACTCTTTCCTACAACTCAAATTCATTCAAGATTCACAAAAATTCAAATACTGAAGATGGTAACACAATGCGGTGTGGGGTGGAGAACACTGCTTAGAAGAGTTTGGACAGAAATCTGCTTGGCTTGGGGCAGCTGCCACCTCCCTTGGCAGCCTCACTTCCATGCCACAGTGATTAGGAAGTCACCCCAGATAAGTTTTTTAGAAGGGCAAGTGGCTTTGGAGAAGAAGTGAATGCAAAGCTTTCCTTCCACAAATGTCCTTCCATTCGCTTACCTCAGAATCGATGCTGACCCTGTCAGAACCTAAAAATTGCTTACCAAATGTACACATGTCCTGTTAGGAGCTTTGATATATTTGCAAAAGGTCAATACATTTGGAACTGGAAAAAAATAAATAAATGAATAAACCTACGTCTGCTTCTGCCGTAGGTCCCTGTGGGCTATAATAGTAGCCGCCATCGCTTTCCACGACCACTTCGCCATATTCATCATACATTCCAGAAGGAGACAGCAATCGGCGACGACTTCCGTATTGAGGCAATTCGTACCTGGGGGAAAAGCCAGGTACAGACATCCTCTATGTTTGTATCCATGTTGGTTGTGTATACTCACAAATACATGCAAGAGCACTCATCCTTAGCTTGTTTGCTTCCTTTTTTTTAAAGTGAGTACTCTTGTCACATGCCTTTGGCCTCCTATAGTTTTACAGCAAACTGTATCTTATATATGGTATCTTCCTGGTTTTGGTGGCAGTGAGGAAAGAGGGACACACACACATATATACATACAATTAACTTTTTTTTAAAAAAAAATTTGCCCTTTTGCTTTCCTACCTCAGTCTTATTCTTGTACAGCTGTTTTGAGGAACTAGGGGAAAATGTCAGGGGGGTCACAACAAAACTGCTATGAAGCCCACGGAAGATACACATGTGTTGGTAATGTAACCATCACTCTGACACTACTGTAGTCAGTCACAACAAGGGATGGTTGAATCAGTCAATTTTGGTTTCTCTTGGTTTCTTGTTTTTCTACTCACGAGTTCAGTTCTTTTCATTTTCACATCAGTTTGCAATTTTTTTTTAAAAAAGAGGTTCTCGTGAAAATTAAGCAGCTATCTATCTATCTATCTATCTATCTATCTATCTATCTATTCATCCATCCATCCATCCATCCATCCATCCATCCATCCATTCAATTTATATTTTGCCCTTCCTCTTGAAGGAGCCCAGACTGGCAAACTTTAATACAAACTTCTCCTAATATACACATTGTCGTATGCAATCTTGCCTAATATACATTTTGCGAAGCAATTTCCACTAATATAACGTGTTTTTTCTATATTATCTGCACCAATATATGCATCTTTATGCACACTTTGCCTTGTATATGCATTTCTGAACATATTAATTCTCCAGAGAACGACATTTCAAAATTCAGAGAAGTGCAGATTTCAAAGAATTGTTGTGTTTCAGCCAGGCGTATTGTTCTGGAAAATGCAGCTTAGGTTGGTTTGACTTTAAAGGTGAACTGAATCAAATTTCTCCCCCATCTCTTGTCCCAATGGGAGACTAGAATACTATTTTATGCTGTACTTGGCCCTGTCCTTGGAAGCAGCAACAAATAAATCTAGTGTAAAGAAATCTAGAATAAAAACTGCCTGGCCATGCCTAAAGCAGCCCTTTCAATTCTTGCTCTGGTTGGCATGTGAAGTTGTGAAGTTTTACAAGATTAACAGACACAACAGAAAGGCACAACAATATAATCACATGCGGCATGCCCAAGGGCAGGGACGGCCTGTCCTGTCTTGCCACCTGCAGCAAACATGAATTGCTGCCTCCTGGCCTGCCGCAGCATCACAGCCCACTTCCTTAGTCACTGTGCCCCAGCTCTTGCCAAACTCAGTTCCTCAAAGTGTTGGCTTCTCCTCCCAGGAGCGAGGAAGATAGGTGGCAATGCCACACACTGAAGCCCCTCCCTCTCAGCAGTGGAAGTGGTGAGACAAACAGAGCACCGCCTCTTGCACTTCAACCGCCTGAGGCCGTCATGGGTGGGCCAACTCTGCCCAAGGGAACGAACAAAGTGATTTTGAATTCAAAGGGACTTTCATAGTTTGTGATATAGTACTGGGCTCTGCTGTTCAAAGCAATCTAGTGTAAAAACTGCTTGGCCATGCCTAAAGCATTCCTTTCGATTCTTGCTCTGGTTGGCATGTAAAGTTGTGAAGTGGTATAGAAAATGCAGAATGAATAATACCCATGTTCATAACTGTAGTAATCTTGCCCATAGTACTCTTGGCCAGGATCAATTCCAGATTCCATAGAAAGTTCCTGTTTGTCACAATACCAAGAAAAAGAGAAAAAGAAATCTCAGTAGGAATACACAAACCCATAGATCTTAAAGAGCCCCGAGTTCATGTGTGAGAAGGGTATGAGCACAGACAAAAAGATAAAAGTTGCCGGGTCCTTTTTATCCTCAACCTTTGGCACTGGAATAATAGCACAAATAATAATCCCAGGGGTTTTTCTCCCTTTAGTGCCAGTGCTCAGATGTGGGGAACATAAGAAGTTCTTCTGTGGTGCTCTTCAGAATTCTCAGCCAGCAGTGGGGCTGAGGCAAGGGCAATGGGAACTTCAGACACATTTTTGGAGTATGCCTACGTCTATTTCAACTTTCAAGAGGATCCAGTTGACAGAATCTGACTAAAGCTGAAAGAACAATATTTTGTTATTGTGCTTTCTTTACAAACTATTTTCTCTGACATGATGGGATCATCCTGAATGTGGTATCGTACTTCTAAAAAATAAATAAAATGTCAAGTTTTGCTTTCCTGCCCTAACTTCATTTTATATCATTGCTAAAAACATACTCCTGAGCCAAAGAAAGAGAATTCATTCTTAGTACTCTTATTCCTATGATATAAATTACATAATTACCATAGCTGTTAAATAATTATTGCACAATTTCTTTATTTTTATTCACTATAGTGTACTTGGATAAACCATTGTAAGTCATGAATACATTTGTCTGAACCAGAGTGCACTTCAACAGTTGCATGAAGTGTTCTCCTGTGTTCTCTGGTAGGAGTGTAAAGAGGGCAGGGGGAAGTTAGCAGTGAGGTCTGAGAGAAATGAAATGAAATGCAATAAATGCCATGGTGATAATTATGCTAAAGCTTAGATCGATGTAAAACACAGTGCCTGTTCACTGTAGTGTTTGTTTTAAGTTATGATGATAAATATCCTAACACTGATCGTTAGTCATGAATAGTCACTGCAATTATTTTACATGCATCTAAGGCAGGGGTAAGAGAATCTGCAGTCAGACGTTGTTTGACTATAACTCCCTGACCATCGATGATGCTGGCTGAGGCTAATGAGGGTTCGAGTCCAACAGCATCTGGAGGAGTGGGGGGGGCACCAGTCCCCCACTCCTGAGCTCAGCAGACATATTTCAAGTTGCTTGGAAACTAAACTTATAAAAACAGTGTGAAGTAGACTGTTTTTCTTTGAAACAAATTTTAACAGTTGGAGACATTAAATATGGGGAGGCAGTAACAAAACTCTCTATCAAACTTGCTTGGAGGGATGTTATGGTCAATCATGCACAGCTTACGTTGAAGCAAGAACAACAAGCATTCATCATAGATTACCAAAGGACATACCAACAGGAGAAAAAAGGCTGATATAGCTCATGACATTAATATCTCCTGAATCACATCCATATTGCTTCACTATAATAGCCATGAGTTGTTACAATGTGCTCTGCTGGGCAATATCTATGGCTGGTCTCCTAGTCTATTCTGTTTAAAAGCAGTTGGGCCTGTGCTGAAGTAACATCTTTTTCATGGGTGGGGAGCCCAGGATCAAGCCTTGAAAATGTGCAAATCTGACACCATGTGGATTGTTGAGTTGGCCTAAATACATGCACCATTTGCTTCCAAGACATGGTCCTTCCTCCTTTTGAAACCCAAAGAAGGATCAAGCATGTGAGAATCATTAGTGCATGTATGTCGAGATGTGCAAACTTCAAGCTTGCAGGATCTATGTTGGCATTTTTACTAGAACCTCAAAGTCCACTAGCCAAAATTTAGTGCAAAATACATACCGTATTTTTCGCCCCATAGGACACACTTTTTCCCCTCCAAAAATGAAGGGGAAATGTGTGTGCGTCCTATGGGGCGAATGCAGGCTTTCGCTGAAGCCTGGAGAGCGAAAGGCATCGGTGCACACCGACCCCTCTCGCTCTCCAGGCTTCAGGAAGCTATCCGCAAGCCTTGCAAGCCCGGCAGGAGTTCCCGCGGGCTCACAAGGCTTGCGGGCAGCAGCCTGCAGCCCAGGTGAGGGTCCACAAGCCTTGCGCGCCTGGCGGGAGGTCCTGCTGGGCGCGCGAGGCTTGGGGCGGCAGCCTGCTGCCCGAAGCACGCGGAGCCCTCCGGGGGGGAATAATTTTGTTTATTCATTCCCCCCCCCAAAAAAAAACGAGGTGCGTCCTATGGGCCGGTGCACCCTATAGGACGAAAAAATACGGTACATGTAAAATTAAAGAATTTTAGGCCAGAAAGTTTTTTTTTTAATACTAGAATCCTTCTACACAAAAAATTATTCCTCCTGGTTCATCCCCAGGATATATTTATTCCAGCAGTGAGAAAGGCATTTTGTTTTTGCCATTGTTAAATAACTGAGAGTCAAAAATCCTTGCCAGTCTTCTGCAAATCACTACTAGATCAAGGGCTGCCTTCTTCCTTCTGCTTTTATGTGCTCTTCATTGCCTCGTGCAAGATGTAATTCTGGCCTTCCTCATGTGGAGGATGATACTATGGCCTGAACCTCTAAACCAAGTCTTGCATTTCATAACTAAAGCACAATCACTTATCAACATACTTTACAAAGAATTGAGGGTATCGTTCATGCTGCTAATGAAAGTTCTTAAGATTATTAGAGCATAAAGGGTGCTTGTAATTATCATTCAGCTTCTTGAGTATAGCTTATAACACTGCAGTTAATTGAGTTATTTGGGACAAAAAGGATCTTGGGACAGTTTGAGTAACAGCAGAGAAGATATAGAAATATGTCAACTTTAAAATCACACAACTGAAGTCAGCAGGCTCAGGTGCACGAAAATATCACAGTATTGCCAAATAACTTGTCAGCATAAATACACTAAAAAACAGATTTAAACTTGTTTTCTCCTTCAGTGTTAATGATAAGGAAGTGCCAAATGTATAAATGTGTGTCAGAAGGTATTCTATATGAGTGCTCCCAAAGTTCTAGAAGAAAGTGAGAAAATTGTACCTCTGGTCGGAGAAGGGACGGCCTCAGCAATTGCTGTTGCTGACAAAGAAAATTGGAAACAGAAACAGGTTGATGAGAAAGATATAACAGAAAATGCAAGTAATTTATTTTGAGGTTGAAGGGTTACGAGGTAACCTTTAAACCAGCACGACAACAGTAGTTTTGCTTATGACTCTAATGGCCAAAATATTGCTCACAGCTAATTTAGTTCTACTCTAATGATGGATTTTCTCAAGGCAAAAGGGCAAAGCCACTTCAGATCCACATGTATTAAATTCAGCTTCGCTGCCCTGTGATTTGGCAAAGGTCCCAACAGGCCATAGATGTTCTTGGCCTCTAGGGAACTGGTTCCCACAGTTGTCAATATTGTCATCTTCTTCCAAGACATTTATACTTATTCTGAACAGATTCCTGAGTCCGAAACACCTGTCTTGTGTTAGTTTTGAAGAGTGACCACATGTAACAATCAATCAATCAATCAATCAATCAATCAATCTTTATTGTGGTCAAAGACCAGACAGGGCCACATGTATAATTTACAGATTTCCTCTTCAAAACTCACATGAAGAGTTATTTCTGGAGGGAAAAGTTACAATTAACATACTTTGGTGTCATCTATATATATATATAACTGAAGCTAAATGTGTATTTTGATCTGGGAAATCTGTTCTCAAGTAGAAAATGTTTATTGTAGCAGTTCTAGCCAGTGCTTTTTTTCTAGCGAAAAAGGTGCCAGAATGTACCTCCCTTAGAATACCCACCTGAGCCCAAAGAGGGTCTTCTCACCAGCCAGAGGTTTGTTGAGGCTGCTCAACTGAGGCGAAGGGTGCCTTTCCATGCCTCAGCTGAGCAACTTAACAAGCCCCTGCCCATGCCACTCCAGCTCACATATCATATGGATTTCCCATATATCAGCTGTTAGCTGGGGGGGGGGGGGCTGAAGAGCCTCAGTAAAGCCCAGATGCACATCCAGCTCGTGAGGACACCCACTCTGGAGTCTGTAAGGGATTTCATCTTTGTGCTCTCAGGAGGGTCTCCTTGCAAGCCAGAGGTGCAGGGGGACTTTGCTGAGGCTGGTCAGGTCTCTCCTCCCACTTCCGGGGCCCAGCTGAGAGGTGCCAGCACATTGTTCTGGCAAGTTCTGGTTCTAGCTCCCTGAGCCCATTTATCTCACAACTGTCAGTCCAACTGGGTTTTGAACAACAAATGGGAGAGAGGCTTTCATATATTCTTATGCAGAATGCCTTGTGCAGGCCCTATTCATGAAACACTCCAACTTCTAATGCTCAGACACTAGGCAAGCATTCCTGCAAAAATTACTTTTTTGAAGTATAATTACAGAACTTGGAAAGGCATTTCACAAAACAGGTACCGAGGAGATGCCAGGTGTGCTGTATTTGGAAATCCCTGAGTGGACTCCACTTGCGGCTGTGCAGATCCTCAACTCTCATTGATAATGCAGTTTAAATGTTGTGTTCAGTGAGTCAAATAATATAAAATGTAAAAATTATCCAAGCTATGCTGAAGAGAAAAAATGTAAATGGTAACTTCTTACTAAAATATAGGGTGTGTCTTACCTCTTGCTGTGCATATCCACGCCTGAAATTAAGCACAAGAAAAACAGGACATTAATCCAGCTATTCAAGTTGTAAATATAAATATGCATTTTGACCAATATCATTTTCTTCAAAATGTAAAGACTTTGCAATAGAACATTATGGGCCTCACAGTACATCCCACTGAATTCTGTAGAACTACCCTAAAACAAATAACATGACATATAGATTATGTTGCATCCTTATGAGGACTTTTCCTTGTTGTGCTTCAGGTTCCCAATCTAGAAGGTCCTTGAGACTTAATTTGGAACACGAATGTGGGAGGCAATCACATTTTCTTTGTTTCACCTTTGTTTAAAAAGGGCATCAAAGGCATTAACATGAGGGTGGCTCTTGGGCAAATGCATTGGAAATAATGCTCAAGATACAAAGAAACAGATAATGATGGCAACAGTATGAAAATAGGCCATAAATATCTTAAATACTGGATTACTGTGGGTTTCTTCGGATTTTTACTGCCAACAGAATAATAAAAATGAGAACCCAAAATTGACCAAGGAAGGCAAGGTTCATTTGACATGGGCTGGGTACCATATCCTAATCCTAGATCTCCCAAGGAGATATGTGTAACTCTCTCTCTCTCTCCCCTCCTAAGAATGCATAGAAGCAAAGGTGGAACATCTATTTGTAGTTAAAAGCTGCTGGCCACATGTCAGATATTCAAAAGCCTTCCCCTTGTATCTACTGCCCTTGGAACCTTCCATAGGGTCACTTCAGAAAGTCAAGACACATCTAGGAAGATCTTCCATCAAATCCATAGTTCAGATGGAACTGTGGTCGGAATGGAACATACTGAAAATCAGGATCTGCCCCTCAGAAATAAGTTTCCTGGTAGCACCTCATGTACCACAGTACTGAATAGCTTAAAGCCAATGGAGGGTTGGACCCAGAATTAGCTTGCTTAGAGTAGGTGCATTAATGGCTCTACAAGTTAGTCATGACTAAATTAGGCCCCATTGATTTCAATGGATCTACTCCAAGCTGGAGTCAACCAGGAGAAATTTCAAAGCAGCTTGGGAGTTTGGATGGCGGAGCTACAGGTCAGTAGTGGCTGCTGAGGTGGCCCCGGTCAGACACCATCACTCTCCTGGCTTCCTGACACAGTGGGTTACTGTGGAGGGGGTGAGGTGCAAGGAACCTGGCCTTGTGGTGGCAGATTGGCTCTGCTACCGTGGACCAAGCACCTCCCCCCCTCCTGGGAAGTGCCAATCAGCTGCTATGCTGAGAAGCCAGGAGAGCAACAGTGTCACGTTGCTCCACTGGCTATTGGGTAGCATCCAATGTTTCTGTTGACAGAAGTCTTTCATCGGAAATTCCTTTCCTTCCCCATTCTACCTTCTATCAGTAGAAGGGAAACATTGCAATCCACTGAATGGAGAACTGTAGTTTGTTAAGGGTTCCAGGAAACTCTAACTCTGTGAGGAGTACAGTACATTTCCTAAGATTCTTTAGTGTGGGGGATGTGCTTTAAATGTTTGGTGTGTTCACAGACGGAATCTTTAAATGACTTGGTAGGCAGACGACGATCCCATACACCAGTTACTTCGGAACAAACACAATTGGATTCACCAATTGGGATGCAAGAAGCTGTGGCTTCCCCTACCCATTTTCTCTGATACCTTTGTTCCACCCCATGCTCCCCATTGTAGAAAGCCGGATTCAAAATGTGCTGCAGCGTGGATGTGGCAGGCAAAGGGCAGAAGGTGAAATGGGCAGCTGCTGTGCTGTATGCTTGACCTAGCTGCCAAAGGAACAGCATCCATTTCCAGGGTGCAGTTTTGAAGAGTTACCATCTTCTCACGACATATCCCACTAAATTCAAGGGGACTCAGCCCCCCAGTAACTGTGCATTGATTGCCAGATTAGGTGTTTAATTGCATGCTTATGGACAACTGTTTTTAGTCAGCTTTAAGAGCACTTAAGTTCCTCTGGACTGATCTCTTCATGTTCTGTTTAGGACTTACATTTTTTTATCTTGAAGCAGACATGCACACAATTATATTAAGGCTAAACTAGTAGAGAGGCAGCAGATGAGGGAAACAATTTAATGACACCTAGGGGGGAAATAAAGAAGAGTCTGGAGGATCACATTTAATTTTTAATATTACCATCTGCAAAGCTTTTCTATTAGCATTCAGCTTGTGTATTGGATTATCAGAGGTAAATTATTGCTGTAGTCCATTTGATAGGAAAGTAATGAACATCTAAAATGGAGATTTATCGCTAGGATTATCAATGACTTTTCAAAGTCTACCTAAGCAGTATTGCTTTATTCTTTTGTATGGCATGTTCCATTGCTGCCTCATGGTTAAAACTCTGGCTGGCTGCTGCTTCTTAGCAAAGTGGCACTGAAAGGAGGAAACCTGAAGAGCAAAAATGGCAGAGAGCAGCAGGGGAACTTAACTTTCCCTTGTCCATTGTTCCACAGACACACCTTCACACAACCACTCCCACCCCAGTTGGCATTCCTGACTGACAGAAACATAGATCTGAAAGGTGGGGGGGGGGAGAGAGTTGTTCGAGAGGCCATAATTTATAGGGAGAAACAGCAGGCAGGAGGGGGGCAGCTTAAGCCTTCTCCCACCTACTGATTTCCTCCTGAAAACCCACCAGTTAAGGTTTCAGGTACAGTATATCCTCACAATGGCAATATGGACCTGAAACCCAAGATGTGAGGAGTACTGGGTGGGCAGAAAATACCTTGCCACCCACTTCCTTGTCCTCATTGTTATTCCCTGTGAATGCAACTTTGCAGAAGAGAGGTTGTGGTCTGGGTTTTAAGGCACAAGGTAGCAATAGAATGTGTAACTCAACCCACAGTCTCCAAAACCAAGATGGCTCAGATCCCAAGTGGCAATTCTCAAAAGCACTTCTACGTTTACATAGAGACTGGCAATAATACTTCTTCTGCTGGCCAGGTCGCAGCTTCCCAAGTCTCAATGATCATGTTCTAGATGGTTCAGTCTTCAGATGACGTTTTAAAGAGCTGCCACTAGACGGAAGAAGCTAATTGTCTCTGAGCACACGCTTCTCTGATCCAATATTGCAAGCAAAATAAGCAACACTATTGCTTTAATTCAGGGATGGGGAACCTGTAGGACTCCAGATGGACTACAAGTCTCATCATCCCTGATCACTGAGCAGGCTGGCTGGACCTGATTGAAGCTGGAGTTTAGCAACATCAGAGGCCGGGGAACTGATATGCACTGAATGATATAGTGTCAAATAAAACTGTTCATAACAAAACATTACATAATAGTTGTGTAATAACCTGCAAACTGTTCATAATAAAACCAAAATAATAATTTTTTCTCTCTCTTATTTTTATAAAACAGACCTCAAAATATTTTGGCAATGGTTGCCATGCTATTGCCCTATGTATTAAAGGAAAACTGGAGAAGAACCAATATACATAATATTTCTTATACACATGCAGTCGTTACTAGAAATCCTGCCACCACATTTTACCAGTCTCTTAAGTTGCACTCAATGTGTGCAACCAATGATCTTTTAGATAATTTGAATTCCTGACAACTTTGGTTTTCAATCTTTCTTTCTTAAAAGTAAGGCACATTTCTAATCATTATTGTTACGAAGACAAAAAACTTGAAAATGCGTTTATGGTTTTGGCTAAATGTGAAAGCTACATTGTAATTCTAGTTGCTTGAAGGAAAACCATAGACCTATCTCCTGCAAACTGTCAACATTTCTGGATTACTATTCAATGAATACTAGTAGCTGAGCAAAAATCTCTTAAATCTCAAAAAACAAATAATGATATATCATCATGTCCAAACAGCAGCAGATGTCAGAACACTTTCTGTAAACATACACCACTTCTGGATACAAGAAACATAATTTGCACAATTGTTTGCATACTGTCCTGCAATTTTTTGGTGATACAGATTTAAAGGAGTTATAATTTGTCAACTCCAGTTACTGGATAGATAGATTCCTATGTGTATTTGCCTTACTCTAAACATATTTTAGTTGTTATCTTGTATGAAACCCAAAAGATAGATCCAAATCAAAGGCAGTAAACAGAATGTAGAATTAGAACATGCTTTCTTGCAACTTTTGGCTCCTGAGATAAAGGTTTTACTATTTAAAGCTTCAAAGATACTGCCTATCTCTGTAAATGATAAATACACAGGCTCTTTTCAAATAGCTCATGGAAGGATCACTTGTTTCTCTTTAATCAGTTCCATTCTATCCTTGCTGTAAACAGAATATAGTTTTTCAGAGTCCCTCTCCGGTCTCTGACCAAACAGTGCTTCAAAAATGGTTTGCCACTCAGAGCAGTGTCAGCTGGACTGAATTTTCAAGGGGCCTCAAAATGCCAAACTTCAGGTGTGCATGGCCCTCAAGGCTAAAAATGGCCAACTTCTAACAAGATATCTAGAACAGAGGACACTGGTCTTCTCAATGGCTTCAGACACTTTATGTTACATGCTGCAGATATGTGCAGTAGGAGATATCCTTGTGGTGCAATTTCTTTTACTCCTGTTTTAAAAGACATTGGAGGCACCCAAAAAGTTCATATATTTGCCCTTTACAAATGGCAGGAAATGCTAAAATAGGAAGTATGGGGAAGGAAAAAAACCAGGATGGTTTCAAAACACGCAGAAAAGAAGAGTAGGCCAGCCAGAAGCCACAGCCACACCATACATTTAAAGCACCAGGTCTTCCTCTGAAGAATTCTGTCAGCTATTTTTTTGAGTGCTTAGAGTTCTAACTGTAATTCTGGGAGGAAAATAGGGGTCTCCTAACAACTCTCAGCACCCAAAACAAACAACTGTTTCCAGAATTCTTGGGGGGAACTCATGACTGTTCATGGAATCACATTGCTTTAAATTTATGGTGTCTATGTGGCCTTAATTATGTCTACCTGAAAAGAAGTGGGGTGGTTACGGGTCTACCTGAAACGTAGGCAAATGGCATCCCACCCCAAACAAAATGATAATTTACGTTGGGAAAAAGACA